AAGAATTTGGAAAGGGCCATTTCTTCATATGGGAAGAAGGGCATGAGGATTAAAGAACATAAAGTTTACAGTAGACCAGGCACAGATTGCAAGCACAGGACAAGACAACATGCTGTCTATCACTACCATGGTGCTGTCTTTGGGCACAGGTCATCCTTTCCGGTTCATGTGCTGTAAAGCTTTTCTTGTTTGTTTGTTTTTTTTACTTGCAGGTGTTTGAATTACTACCGTGTGTGTGTGTGACATTTATTTCCTCCAGCAGGTTTTTTTTGAGTTTCAACTTATTTTCAAGGTGATTTGGAGTGATACGACATCTTTCCTTTGGAAAACTTAAAATGCCTATGAATTATTGAGTAGAGTATTCTTCAAAGAGCCATGAGCAATGATTTGAGTCTCTTTGGATAATCATGATCAGCTCTTTTCAGACAAATGGTTTATTTCATTAAATCACATTCTTTCTTTCTTCACCATGAGAATTAGGTTTCAAGCCTACTATAAGTGATAGGCTGATTCTAGACTCTATACAGAGACATGGTTGAGTCCCCAGTAACTATCCCATCATTTATACCAGAAGATGAGTGAGAGAATCTGGGAAAGAAGGTAAGAATATAAAGTGTTTGCCTCCCTCCTGTGTCTCCACTCCAGGGACAGCTGGCTATGCTACATCAGTCCTGTGGCTTTGTGTCCTTAGCCCTGGGATTACAAAGATGTATCTTACCACACACATTGCCGCTGTATTCTGAAGGCAGGAGAAAGGACTTCTGAGCCCATACTACTACCAGTCATCAGGTCTTGTCACAAAGACTGAGTTTTTCTGGACATCCATCCTCAGGTGACCTGTAGATACTTGCTGTCACATTGCCAGACTTCACAGCACTCATCACTAATCAATCTTCCCTTACTTATGTAGGTTGTTAAGTAGTTGGTTATCATCTATTTTCCTCCTTAGATTACTTGAGTATTGTAAGTACCATGTACCCTATGTCCAGCTATGGACACTGTAAGATCTTGATAGGCACTTACTAGATTTTGAATGAATGAGGAAATGGTGGTGGTGGGCCAGTTGTAGTCTGTCTTCTCATACCTTGCCTGTATTGTCCTAACTTCATTAACTGTGTCACAATGTCTGGTCGTGGGGTTGCTAGGCATGTGAAAACCTGTTTCTATGTGTTAGGGTTTCTATTTTCTGTTACTGTGAAGAGACACCATGACCCAGTATCTCTTATAAAGAAAAAAATTTAATTGGGATGTTTTGCAGTTTCAAGATTTTATAGCTGCTTGATAGGCAAGATGAGAATTCCCCAGCATCCAATGACAGTCAAATTAAAGTACCCCCTTGTGCTGTTTTATTTTCATCTCTGCTAAGATCAGTCTGAGATTTTCCAGTTGAATGAGTCTGTGTATGTAAAATAATTTTGTTATCCACATGTGGAAGGAAATTGTGTTCTACAGATTCTCTACTCAAAGTCCTCTTAACACTGTCTGTATTTCAGGACTGGAGAGGCACTTCAGCAGTTAAGAGCACTTGCTGCTGTTGCAAGAGACCAGGGTTCAGTTCCAGGCACTGTCATGGCAGCTCATAAACATCTGTAACTCCAGATTCAATGCCTTCTTCTGATCTCCATGGGCACCAGGAATATACATACATTCAAGCAGAACACTCATACACATAAAGTAAATCTTAAGAAAACAAAAACCTATACTGCAACTTCCTTCATCATGAAGCTATATTTCATTTGAACAAGGACAACTGAGAGCCAAGACTTGTGACCATCATCACCGGTGAACTCTGGAAATGTACCATACAGAGCAGATAAGAATGAGAGACCACAGCTGGAAAAGCTGAATGGATCCTTTTGTAGTTCCAAGCTAGTACCACCACCCCACTCATGTCCCCATCTAGCCACGTAGAGTGAGGAGTCTATGTTTCTACTCTAGTTAGAAGAGCAGACTTATTTTAAATACCTGTCACTCTCTGTGGCATGGCAAGGATCAGTGACAGTCAGTTGTGAATAGTATACCCTACTCAACCTATATAAAATTAATCTCACAGAAAAATAAATATTTCACATCTGTCAGAAAAAGTGTTTTTAGATAGATAATGTGGAGGTTCAAACCCACCTAGGACTTTAGACATGCTAGGCAAGCGTTCTAGAACCAAGTTATATACCCATCTCTGGAAACTTATTCTTGAATCTGTGACATTTTATCATCTTCTTCATGATACTTGCAAACAGTGAAGGATGCAGTAATACTATAAAATAGAGACTAACAAGACTCCCTAACACTAGCCATACAAATGCACACCTATGTTATCTTCATATGATATGTCAATTCCCACTTCATCTGCAATTTTGCGCAATTAGATGCTGTTTGAAAAATGGGTCAAGAAGAATTTGGAGGGTTTTGCTTGATGTTCATTTACTATTTTTTTCTACTATCATCTTCATGATGAGATACAAAATAGACTTAAGACAAATAATATTTTAGTGGACAAATTTTAGTGACAAGGGAAACTCTTAATGAAACAAATCACAATACAGATGTTCAAAACTTCAGTCAAATTTATAATCATAAATATGCTAAGCCCTTAATTATAAAATTTACATTTTGGGGGGATAAATACACAATTTAGTCACTTCCTGGGCCAAAAATCATTAAAGTCCAAATATTCAACACAAAGCCTATTTCAATTCAATGTGGACAGCCCTGGAATGAAACACACAGGCAACATTAGCTCTCTAAATATATGAATCTGGACTGTACATCTCTCTATTCCAGAAAGCCCCACAAAACTGAGCACCCAAAGTGAGAAACATGTTTTGAAATGAGTACTTCACTGGAGTAGGAAACCACTCCATAGTAACTTCAATACATAGAGCAATACATAGAGGAGGGATCAAATAAAATTGCCACTGCCTTAGTCATGATGTTTTCTTTGTGTTTATCTATTTCTTCATTCTTTTCATAACAAAAATTAGGTTTTTATGCTATTAATTATTTTTCACCTGGTCTACTGATAGTTGGCAGTAAGAGTCACAAGCCAACAAAGGTCCAGGACAAACAATGAACAGACTGCAGGGGACTGATCAGAAATCTGGTTTAGGCAGTGTAGACAAAAGGGTCTCTCCCTATCGTTCAAGTGGTCACATGTTCTGAACTGCTGTTTCACACTTGTTCAGATGAGACTCTGAAAGATGCTACCTGCCTGAAAAATGCTACCCATGCTGCTGGTTGCCACATTAGCCACATATCCTTCATACTGGCTTCTCTTGAATATGCCCTCCTGCTCCACTAGGAACCTACCTATTCAGGGACCCGGTTGTGGAAAATATAGACATAACCTCTAGGTTGAACTATTGTAACTCACTGCCTATGCACTCATGTTCACTTCTTAAGCATAAAGTTAGACTATGTAGACCTTAACAGACTTCAGAAAGTAACAGCATCCAACATAACCTTCCAGTCTTGTCTGTCTCTTTCACATGGGAGTTTCTGCACCTCTTTAAACTCATGAAAACCAGAATCAGTGTCTGTATCTCAGTCTATTTATTAAAAAAAATGAAACAAACAAGGGCAGAGAGTAGAGAGTGGATGTGGGCAGTGACAAAGCAGAGAGAAGAGGTCCCCTTTGAGCAATGGCACCAGTGACAGATCTCTAGTGGCTTGGGAAGCTGTGGTGGCTCTAACACAAATCTGTCTGCTCACGTGTCTAACCTTGCACAGCCTGGTGATGAAAGCAGTAGCCCAGTCTGTATCAGCAGGGGCTCTGAGGATCAAGGGCCTCAGCACTACCCTGTTTGCTTATTCCAGGATAACCACTCCAGTTTCTTGTACCCTTCATGGTAAAAACCTGGCAATTTGCATAGGATTTAGTGATAATGACAATACAATCCCCAGAAATTTTAAGTGCAACAAAAATACTCCTGATGCCTATCAAAATGTGGGCATAGGGGTGCTATCCCTTTCTTCATGTCATGGATACAGGGGTGCAGGTCAAACAGTTTCTGTGAGAAGGAAATGACTTGGTCACCTGCTCAGATCTGTGAAACACTCTGACCTCTTCCATTGGCCTTTCACATTCAGTTAGTGAAATATGCTGCAGAGATACAATCATTCCCATTTCATGGAGAAAGACTGAGACTAGAAAGGTTTAAAATTAGTTGTTCAAGGTCGTATGGTCAAGGCAGAGCCCAGACGAACTTTAAGTTCATACACCATTATTTTTTCAATTTCCCTTTAACATGGGAAGGCATGGGAATTAGTTGATGAACTAATTATTATTTATTTTGCTCCCATTCACTGAGTCTGTTTCTCTGCATGATCTCATTTAACCACCCACTTAAGAGGCAACTATTATTTCCTAAGGAAACCAAACTTCTTGTAGCACGGGAGATGCCTACCACTAAAGCCACATGGCACTGGCTCCCTACAGCATTCATGTGACATAGATGTCACTGATGAACCTTGATTCTAACCATTCTAACCATATTTTCACATGCCAATCTATACTAGTATTCATGAAGGCAGGAAATCTATCAAGCTATGTATTCGCAGAGCAGTGCATTAGAGAGGCTAAAATTGCATCTGATACCTGTGTGGCTAAGGCATAAATTTTTAAAATAACACAGAACGAAGTTTCAGTGTAACATATAAAAATGAGAAGTTACATCAGATGTAGTGACCCTTACCTATAACCTCAGCACTAATGAGATGGAGGCAGAAAGATCAAGAGTTCAAGGACATCATTTGTTACATATCAAGTTTGATGACAGCTTGGGCTACCTAAGACCCCCCCCCACACACACGCACGGACACCAAAGGAGGGGGAGGTAGTTCAGAAACCATGGTTCTAGTTGATCATATTTCTGCTATAAATTAGACATATATACTTTCAAAATACAGATTTACCACTGGGCTGTAACCAACCAAATCATGAGTAAGTGTCTTAAGTGGAACTAATCTGATCCCCAACCTTTCCTTGCCTGATTCTTTATTACCTGATAGCATACTGTCTGTTTTGATTGAAGGAAACTTCAAAGTCATCTCATGCTTGTGCCGATGAATCATCAGATGGTCCTCTGTTGGGAAACGCTGTTGAGTAAATAGAGAGAAAGATGGGAGACATTTAGTTTGCAACACAAATCTGACATCACAGAGAAAAAGATGCTCGGCATCAAAAACAAGACAAGAAAATCAGTTCCGAAAAAGATGTTATTACACAAGCAAATACAGTTCCTAGTTCCATGCTGATTTACACCCATGTGCTGGTGTGTGCATGCGTGTGTGTGTGTGTCCTCCCAGCTATGTGCAAACGTGTGCATTATCATGTCCACTTGTCTATCAAAAGCCTTGCCTATGCAGCAGAGGAATGCTGATAAGTGGTCTCTGCTTCTAGTCGTTCTTCAGTTCCCTAGGACTTTCCTAAAGTCCTCTGCTCCTTGCATAAGTCCAGCCGGCTTGCCAGGGAACTGTAGAATCTGTGTGTTTCTTGAGATGTTTCCATCTGGGAGAAGAAAAACTTTTCAAGCTCAAAGGCTTTGAACTTTGCCTTATCCTTTGCTAAATAATGAAAGAGAAAGCACAAAGGGCCCCGTTGAAGGCATTGAAAAAACACACACTGCACTGCACCCTAGAGCCCGGCTCTGTTAGGAAGTCTCTTAAGAGAAGACAACAACGTTGAAAGGAATGCTTCTTGTGGTCCTGAAATGTAACTAATGACAGCAGAGAGTATGACATCTAAAATGAGAAAAGGGATGGAGATCTGGATAGCACTGGGAATATGTAAAACCATGTGGAACTTTTCTGTTATAGTTACTGCTTTACATAATAGTGTAAAATTAAGTCTAAGGCATGATAGGTATGCTAGACATTATCTACAGATTAACCAAAAACAAGAGAAACGCATGACATAGAAAGAATTTTGATTTATGTCAGACTTTGGGAAAGAACTCCATGCCATGCTTAATTTTTACAATATATCTATTAATGTACACCATGATGTCTTTACGGTATGTTTCTGTTTATGAAGGCCTAGTCCCCATATTATCTAAGGTCTTTTTCAAATTATACATATGATTTTATAGCAACATGACAAATTATTTGGGGTGTTCTATACTCTACATACTGTAGTCGTCTGTATTTATTTGAAATTTTCAGGGAATGATGTTAGGGTTATCAAAAATGTTGTTTCTAATTATTTGGGGCCATTTCTGGCTCTCCTATGTTGTATAGGGCCATGTGAGTGACTCTGTCCATTGCATCATGAAGGAAAATGACCTGTCTTCCAGAGGCAAGTGTCTGGTCTCTGGTGTACAACCCTCTTGTCATTTCCCATGCCTTACTCATAGTATAGCAAAGTGACTCACACTAGAAATAGTGGCCCCTCAAGAACTGTAAATCTCTCAAGGGTTATGTTGAATTCTAAAGAGGAAAACATGTTTCCTAAAATTTTACAATAAAAATATAGCCATCAGTAACAGAAATAAGCTTTGTGGTTTGGCTGTAATTTGTTATTAAGCAGATGCTAGCCTAACCTGGCTCAGATGGCTCTGTTTGTAGTGACTGAACTAAACAGAGTTTTTATTTATTAAAGTTTAATATAAAATGTAAATATAAAGTTAACATCAAATATGAATATAGGAAAATAATATATCCCAAAGAACATTTCTGAATCTTTGATAATTTGAAAAGAAGCTTCTAGAACTCAGGATGGTAAATGTGAATCTCTATTACCTTTGTATACCATGGTTGGAGTATTTTCTACAAGGAGAGTAGATTTGTGGTCAAATGAGGGAGTTTACTGTGCTGAATCCTATCAAGGTGGTTCTTGGTATAAGCATCACTTATGTACTTGATGCTTTGATCATGTTCTGAAGAGTTAACGAAGATGACACTTGAACAAGACTTCCAGTTACACAGAGGTATGCTTTATATAACTTCAGGTATTTCTGTTTCAGTATTACCTAGTCTCTTGATTTTCTTAACATCAAATATTTAACACCGCTAAAATGAGTTAGAGAGAGAAATTAATGTAATATATGCAATACCTTTCATATTAATAAGCCACTTTTAAAACTTACATTTTATTCTGTGTGCCTAAGTGTTTTGCCTGTATGTGTGGATTATGTAGGACATCCTTCTGAATGCTGCAAATATGTGTTGCTTTTAATGGCTGATGAATAAAGCTGTTTTGGTCTATGACAGGGCAGAATATAGCCAGGCAGGAAATCCAAACAGAGATAGAGAAAGAAAGAAGGCAGAGTCAGGGAAAGCAAGATATGAGGTGAAAAGCCACGAGCCTTCATGGTAAAATATAAACAAACTATTAGAAATGGGTTAATTTACATCGAGAGCTAGCTGGTAAGAAGCTCTGGTCCTTGTTAATTCTGAGAGAAAGAGCATGTTTTCAGATCACATTCTAAAAGGTCGTCCAGGTATCAGAGGCCATCCCCAAGGAGCAAAGCTTCTCTGTCTCTCTTGAAGAGAAAGTAGAGCAGAGGAGTCCTTCCATCACCTCCCCCGAGGCAACACAAGCACTAACAATTCTGTTTCCTCATCTTCCAGCCACCCTAAATCACTGCAGGTTCCCAGTGTCATGATCACAGCTGCTGATTTGTCTATGAGTTACTAGTATCCCACCAGCCATGACACTCAGAACTACTGACTGATGGCTACATTTTCACTCAGGTAAAAGATGGGCCTAGTTTTATAACAGTGTGTCAGGATAATAGAAACACTTCCATATAAAGGAGATGCTGACTTACAGATCTATCAACACATCTGAAGCTGTGGATGAAGCTTGAGATTGAACCCTTAAAATCAAGATACTACATAAATCCTAATTTCTCACATTTATTCAACATTTTCCACAGTTCACTTAGCCTTGTTAAAGAAACCCCTTGACTTCCTTCTTCAACAAAACATTCAAGAACATGCAAAATGGGCCTGTTCAAGAACTCAGGGTGTGAATCCATGATAAAGTACATGACTAGGATATGTAAGGACCTGAGTTCAAATCCCCAGTGCCACACACACAAAATACTTAGCCCCAAAAGTCAGCCACACTCAGTCCCCTCAGACTTTGCATTCGACTTGGCAGATTCTCCCTCGGTCCCCTCTTGGCTCAAGTTAACTGAGGATGTCCACTGCCCCACAGGATGCTCCACACCCTGTATCTCCTTGGCTCTGCTCCTTCAAGCTCTCCTGCTCTCTCCTGCCCCCTCCTGCTCTCTCCTGCCCCCTCCCGCTCTCTCCTGCCCCCTCCCGTTCTCTCCTGCCCCTCCCGCTCTCTCCTGCCCCCTCCCGCTCTCTCCTGCCCCTCCCGTTCTCTCCTGCCCCCTCCCGCTCTCTCCTGCCCCCTCCCGCTCTCTCCTGCCCCCTCCCGCTCTCTCCTGCCCCCTCCCGCTCTCTCCTGCCCCCTCTCGCTCTCTCCTGCCCCCTCCCGCTCTCTCCTGCCCCCTCATTGGTTTCTTGCTCTTGGCTCAATTCACCCTAGCTATCCTTTAGCAGGCCGCCATTACATCACTCTGCTTCGGCACTGCCTCCTGCTTCTGAAAGGTTCCACTATGCCATCACTTTGGCTCCCTTGCCACCCACTCACTCATTAATCCCTTCCAATCAGGCCTCCACCCTCTGCTTTCTCCCATGTCTCCTGCAAGCAACTAACTGCCAAACCCAACAGCCTCTGCTCCATCTTCCAACGATCCCAGCTCCAACAGTGTAGGACACCAGTGACTGCACGTCTATGGTGTTGTTTTATTTATACCCTGCCTGACTGCACTGAGGGAAATGTGACTTAGAGCAATGCATGAAATACAGTGGGAGAGCATCAGTTAGAAGTTGGGGATCCAGAACAGAAGGGGTACAAAACAGCAAAGCTAAAACCCCAATGGAACCAACAGCATTGACAACCAGGAACAAAGGTAACCCTAGAGGACATCGGACAACCTCTGACGATGTTTCCGTTGTCACAGCTGAGGAGTGCTATTGAGGTCTGGTAGGCCTAGGCAGGGATGCTGCCAAACCCTCTACAATACACAAAATAATACCCACATCAAAGCGTTACTTGGCCTTAGATTCTAATGATGCCAAGTTTGGAATAGTGTGTGTGGTACAGGTCAATACTTATGAATAGCTATCTCTCTCTTGTCTGACTTTCATTAATCCCACATGTGGCTAGAAGCTCTTTGCTGGCATTTTAACCCTGGATATACCTGAGAATCCTAACCCAGCCTTACCCCTCCTTTTATTTCATTGTTCCATAGAGAAGTCTTTCAATTTCCCCCAATAAAGTGAGTTCCCAGTGTGGTCTGCTGCTTCTTTATGAAAAATTACAATCAACTAGTTAATTGATAATTTTATCATATGATTATATATCTGATGCCCAGACCAGAAGGGCTGTGAGAGCAGAGATATGTGTGTTTGGAGCACTGTGGTTTTCAAGAGGCAGCTAGAATGCCTAGACACACACAAGTAGGTACCTAGACAGTGTATAGGTGACTTGTAGTAAACGAAACGTAATGTCCATTGTCAGAGCCAAGCAAAGGAAATCCCTCCAATTATCTGGGCTCATTTAGACAAGGAGGCTTCCCTATGAAGAAACTGGGGGGGGGAGTTCTGTTTCAGTTAGAAACCAAGTTTTAACTTAGTACAGAGACATTCTGCATTTACCATGGAAAGTCCTTGTCTACCAGGATTTTCCCAGTTACACAGCAACCTACCCACATTCCCCTAGTATTTCCTCCTTTAGAAAGGCTTTTCAAAGCCTTTTTGCTCCAAAATATTTTTCTCTACTCCTTTTCTTGTTCACAAGTTAGAAAGAAACGATGGCACAAAAACCTCTGGTGAAAATTCCAGACTCTGGATGCTCATCAGCTAATAACACCACTGACAATGTTTTATGTTTCTGTGACTTTGTCCCTCCAAAAACTTCTCTTCAGATTCTCCCAGAATCCTCCACAAACTCTGGGAAACTAAAAGAAGGGTATTCATCTTACTCCTACCTGACCTTAGACACTGCCCCACCTAAGACTGACAACCTTATCACATGAATTGGTGGGCCTTGGTTTCCTTGAAGCTACAGGAAAATCGGGGAGTAAGTGCCATCTCCCACATTAGCAAAATGCTTATGCTTGGACTCTGAAATGTATCCTATACCCCATAAAATAAAGATCTTGGTATAATAACTACCATTTCAACATATCAAAATCCCTAGAACATGGTACTACCCAAAGATGGACTCTTTAGTCACGAGCAGAAAAAGTCACCCTCAAGTTTTAAAAATAAAACATAAAATTTGTTTCACATAATAGATATGGGATCTAACATAAGAGATTTAGCAGCAGCAGAAGCACTAGTCATAACAAGAGTGAGTAGTAACTGAACATTTACTATGTTCATGCCCTATAAGAAACACCCTGGAGGCAGCATCTCATTTAATGCCCACACTTTACATTTGAAGGAGTTATCAGACGCTCAGATTCAGTCCTGTATACCAACATAGCCACTCCTTTTAAAAATTCTAGGCCCAAGAACTGTAGTTTTAGAACAGTCATAGTAGTATTCTTTTCCTCAAAAAGGATCCAGAATTCAACCCACAACTATGAGGCATCTCATCTGAAAAGCCCAGTATGTATGCAATTGGCTGCTGTGAAGGACACACCACCTTCCTCTTTCTGAATGACCACCCAGCGGAAATGGTGGGCACGATGCATCTGACTTGCTTCTGGAGGAAGTTACTCATAAGGACGTCAACATTGTTGCCTTTCGAGATGAAAGGGAAGTATTTCAAACTATAAAGTGTGATCTGACAATAGTGAAGATGAGAATCACGATGTTGATGGTTAGGGATACTTTGAAAAGTATTTCAGCAAAGAAAGAAAGCCTAATGGACATGGCGGCTCAATGAGAGCTGCCGTCCCAGGGGACGGCAGAAGCATGGAGGATCCCCACACTCACCTGGGAGCAGCCGGGAGCACTGCAGACAAATGGCCTCTCCTGCTCCAAGTTCATCTTGGATTCCTCATAAATCTAAAGGATCAAAGGAAAACAAACCCATGAGTATCACCCCCTTCTGCTTCAGATGCAAGAGAAAGGGAGCCTTCTATGGCCATTCCCCAAAATGAGCAAGTTACACATGAACACGTGAACACGGTGAATACGGCCCTGTTTCAGGTTATTGGTTCTCCCCGCTTAAATTCCTAGAATGCTCTCTTTAGTGCATTTTAAAGAAAAAGGTGTATTGATGCTAGAGTCTAAAGCATGCCTCTGGAAAGCTGGCTAGTGGGTACTATTGCCAGACAAAACTTCAACTTCTTAGCAAGATTCCAAGGCAAAGCACACTCCACCATCGCCACCCCGCAGTCCTATGAGAACTTTGAAACTGGCTGCTTGGAATAGCCAGAGGGAAAACTTCAATTCAGGTAAATTTTGAATATGGTCACAATCACCTTTACAAATGACCCTGAGTGCCAATAAAAAGTGTGGTCTACATGACTCTCTGATTAGCACACCTGTTGCTGTTAGTTTTGTTTCTTTTTAATGACAGGAAGAACCATGCAAACTTCTGTTACATTATTTAGATGATTTTCTAAATACTTTTAAACCAATTCTAGATTTGTGCATATGCATTACATGTGCCCTTAATGGTACGTGGGTCTATTGCTGAGTTTTAAAAGCTCCTGACTTAACCCTGAGCACAGGGAGGAATCCGTTTCCTTGAAATGCTGCCTGTGGGTGATCCTGAAAGGAAGACACTGACGGCTTGGCATCGTGGAGGAGTCCCACTGTGCCGAGAGAAGCAAACACGTCTAGTTTGTACATGCCACACCATCTTCCCCAAACACTTATTCTTCAGGCGGATATATACACATCCTTTCGTTTTTCCAAAATGTAAAGTGAGGATGTGTATCTTAGATACCATTTAGTCAGACACTAAAACACAAAACCAGAAACAGAGAAATAATGTAAACCCTCTCCCAACTGTAATTCCCCATTGGCATGCGTTTTCAACTAAGTAAAGCCTCACGCATTCCTATAAAACAGTGATTCCCAACCTGTGGTTTGAGACTCCTGTGTGGGCCCAACTGACCCTTTCAGAGGGATCAAATATCAGATATACAGCATATCATATACTGCAATTCAAACAATAGAAAAACTACAGTTGTGATGTAGCAGCAAAATAATTTTATTGTTGGGGGTCACCACAATATAAGGAACTATACTGAAGGGTTGCAGTTGAGAACCACTGCTATAGAAGGACTTCCCACTGCCTGCCCCATAATACAGTGATTAGCATAATTTTAATGCTTTTCCATATTAAGCATTATTATTTAAATCCATTTTGTATTTACTTATATTTTCTTACATTTTCTTATGAGTTAATGCTTTTAATTTTTATTTTCAACTGACACATATTTATGAAGCGTAAGGTAGAAATTTCACAACTCATCTGCAGTCTCTACTGTTCAAATTGGGGTAATTATTAGCACCACTCCTTTAAACACAGTGTCTGAGTGCTTGAACCCTTTAAACTCCTCTACTTCTTTGTGATATATGCGAAAGGTTCCCCTAGACCATACTGTATTATACTTATGAGAAGAAATAAATATTTGGGATCTTTCTGCTTGCTCTTGTCTGAAGAAAGTCATGAGCAACAAAAATAACTTCTCTGGTTTTTAAAATTTATTTAACTTTGCCTTGCCGATCATAGAACATCCCTCCTTCCCTGGACAAGAAGCAAAAAGGAATAATTTTTATTGGGGAAGTAGAATAATAAAATAAACTAGCTTATCCATCAATTAAATCTGCCACAGTTCTCTAGAGTAACAACAACAGTGCTTTCCTGACAATGCTTCTACACCAGGGAGTCTGGTCTGCATGTCAGTGCCCTCATGCCTCAGCCTCCTCTCCTTTACAGTAGGGGTAGCAATATTCATCTTCAGCCCCTTCATTCCTATGTCTGATTCCTTGGTTTGAAGCTTGTAAGACATTTGAAGTCATGGAGAAGAGTAGGGTACCTTGGAGGTAAGAGAAGTTTGTGGGTGCTACTGGAACCTCACTCTAATCTGAATCAGTCCCTGTGTGTGAAATTGCAAATGACAATTTATTCCCTTGTTTGCCTGTGTGGCTCTTTCTTTGTTTGCCAATGTTTTGAAGGAACAGTGTGTTTACAATCAATAGTAAGACTACACAATAGTCAAATGGAATAGTTCTATGAGTGCACGCTTATGGTTGACATCAGAAGGTAGTAATTAATGATAATTAAATGAACGTCCCAGCAACAGCTACTGCTGGGTCTCAAAAGAGTTTAATAAGCCAACATGAAGAAAGATTTGGCCAGATGCAGGGACTAAGTCCAAGGAGAAGTTGTCTTTCCACTATAATTGCTGCTCCATCCAGTCTTGACCCACCAACATACTGGTTTTCCTCCAAACCCAGGCTCACTGTACCAATAATCTACAGCCCTGGTTCACATCAGCATTGGCCTCTTTAATCATCAGTTATAATTTTCTGTTTCAAATGTCCTGGAATCAAATTCTGGTGCTCATATTTGGACACATACCAGAGCCCAGTCTCACAGACCTTTTCTGTGGGATTGAACTTATATTGTATGGCTGTCATGTTCCAAGGAATATGATTAATGTAGCTCGATAAATATGGACACGTGTCAATAACAAGAGTTTATACTTCCAGAGACTCAATATGAGAAATACAAAGTCCCTTCTCAAACAGTATAGTCATCAACACATTTTAATTTTCCAGACACAGATGAACCTGTAGCAATTTATTACATGGTATGCAATAAGCATGGAGCAAATCTGTTTGGCAACTTAACATTGGGATAAACGTCTGGAGGTATACAGCCGTTGCTAATTTAGAGTAGGTTTTAAGGGATCAGTGAGGTCTGATGTGAGTGGGTGTGTGTATACTGTATAAACCTCAACTGCTTAATTTTGATGGTCTGCAGTTCCCACATGCAGACTCTGCAAACAACACGCACTTGTTAATTCCTCCCCATGTAGGTGCTTGCAATAGGTTTCTAAATGCAGCCACTCTGCCATGTAGGCCTCATTACTTTTATCAACTGGCATGATCTGGTCTGATGCATTAGTCAAGAGGCATGGTTGATTTTTACGGTCGATTATTATGGTTTTTCTAGTGCATAGTGCAATAATTACACTCTCAGACCCCTGCTGAAGTTCTGCACAGGTTCTTTTATCACCCAGCAAGTGGGCCAAGTGATTCAGACGGGCTGTAGCCAGGCTGGTCCACATTGGGTCCTCATTCTCTCATTTCCCATTCAGTTGTTTTACTGGCTGGGATTTTTTTTATAAACCAAGTTTGGTTTGGCAATCACCACAGCCTGGGCTCCACTGCCTAGAGCTTCCATAGTAGGCGTTCAATAAATATTTGTGGAATGGATAATGAATCTTGAATCATCACAATAAATTGTCCCAAACAGCCTTCTGTTCTCGACTCTGAAGGCAATAGCACCAAGTTTTGAGAGAGGTGAGAGGCTGTGTGGGCCACTGACTTCTCTGTCTCTGGGTGAAGTCTTAAAAAGTCCTCCCTAGTCTTAAGAAAAAGCCAACACTGCTTTTCGATGGGAGGAAGCTAGTCTCTATCAGTCTTTAATCACAGACATCACAACCAAGAAAACCTGAGCTCCTGTGCTGCCTGTGGCCCGCCCCCAGCTGTGCGTGCCCCCCCCCCCCGGGCGGTGTGTGGCCCTCATAAAGCACCCTTTGAGAAATACTGACTTTGGCTACACTGGTGAGCTGCAGTCTCTCTGTGGCAGATGTTCACATAACTAAACAGTTTTTAAATAGTACCATATTAATTGCCCTTTTCCTTAAGTAAGACACACTGTTTAGCTACAACGAATGCTTCCTGAGTCTAGTTTCCCTCAACCTTTTGAAAAACAATTAAAAATTCTAATAACACAGTTTAGTCCCACACAAAGTGAGCAGAGGTTTTCCCAGTTGACAAGGAGATGACAGACTTGATTTACAGTTCGAACCCTTCATGGCCACTGCATTCCTCTGGCTGCTAAGTGAGCTAGAATCTCTTTCTTTGTTCAGGGTTTGACCCCACAAATTCCTGGTCTAAAATGGGAAGTTGGTCCATAATGACTGAGGACACCAATCCATTCAGAAGCTTTGTTGGTCACTAAGGATATGCTTGGAATGACTGTGTCCCAAAAGGTAAACACTGCAAGAAGAAGACACTATTAAAAACTTAGAATGCCTACAAAAGCAACTTAAATACGTACTTGAAATGTCAGTATCCTCTGGTTTGCAATGATCAACCCAAGGGTATGTTTAACCATCCAGCTCAGAGGCAGCATAGCCAATCCTTGGCTAACACTGAGTTCTAGTCTTAGTGGAATGGTCCAGAATTGCCCCAGTAGAGTCACACAGTGGCAGGATTTGAAATGATAAAACACTAAAAGTATTGCCTGCATCTGAAAGCCTAGCACTAAAAAAGGTAAGAATGTCTAAGGCACAAACTGAAAGCCAGTGAACACTGACCTACTGACGTCTCCATCTCTGGTATCATTTACCTGGTTGTGGGTACAGCGTAGATATTGAACTTTAACCTTTGGCTAGCATCTATTGTCCTACTAAGAGGCTAGATGGAGTTGTCTTGGCAGAGTTCTCCTGAAACAACCCTCCTGCCTTGTTGAGCCTCTCAGGTCCTTGAATGAGCTCCAGAGAAGCAAACTGTGCCCCCTCTAACTCCCAAAGGAGAGTTCATGAGGAAGTCCACTGTGGGATGCTTCAACTCAATACTCTTTTCTCTGAGAAACAAAGATGATTTAATTAACTAAATTCATTATAGGCAAAGCCAATTCGGTTTTAGTCAGAAAGATAAGGCACAGACCATACACAATAAGACACCAACACACTCACCACAAACACGTTCTACATTCATTTTTTTTCTAAAACACCCAACTCCATCTCACAGCAAAGACGCAAGGCTTGCTGCTCAAATGGAATTGTATTTTCAGTTTGGGGCTAAGGCTTTCC